GGAGGAGGAGGAGGAGGACGACGAGAGAAGAAGACGAAAGGAGGAGGAGGTGGAGGGGGAGAAGAAGAAGAGGAGGAAAGGAGGAGAGGAAGAAGAAGAAGATGAAAGGAGGTGGAGGCGGAGGAGAGGAAGAAGAAGAAGAAGAAGAGGAAGCAAGGAGGTGGAGGCGGATACCACAGCGGGACCGTATCGACCACGACGGGGCAGCTTCCGATGGCGGGCAGCAACGGGCAGCGACGGGCAGCGACGGCAGGGACGGCGGGCAGCGATGACGGGCACCTCTTCGACGGCGGGCAGCGACGGGAACCTCTTCAACGGCGGGCAGCGACGGCGGGCAACGTGAACGAAAAAATAAAACTGGCAGCGCTGCGAGTTCGAATTGGAAGGCCGCCCGTCGAAAAAATTTGCGCCGGGGGGTGGGGAGGCTCCCACGGGCCAAACCACTTCGAAAATGGCCTCCCCCCGCCCGCACGCAAAAATGTGCTGGGCCCGCCCGGCGCCAAATCGGGGGACCCAACCGGCCGGGCCGCCCGGGACCCCTGCCGGACGAAGGCTGGGCTGCCGGGTGGCCCGGAATTTAACACAGGGTTGAAACGGTTTTCATCCCAGGGCTTGATCCCTAGACCTTATCCTCACCTGTGTACAATACCAAGTCGACCCCTGTGTGTTTGAACCCGTGACCTGTGTCTTGGCAGTTGGCTGTTGTCTGTTGTAGGGCTTTGTAGTTGTCGGGTTTTGAACTGTAGGTCTGTCAAGTACTGGTCATAGCTGTGTAGAAGTCGTCGCTGCTACAGTCCTGAAAGGTCAAGGTCGTAGCTGCTACAGTCCCGAAAGGCCAAGTCTACGGAAGGTCCGGAAGTGGCCTTTCCAGAGTCGCCAGAGTCAGGCCAGAGGCAAGTGGGCAAGTGGGCAGTCCAACCTCCTCTAATCAGCGGTAGACAGTCCCAGTCGCACTTTGTCCAGTCAGCAAGTACCATGTGGGACTGTGTGCACCCTAGGCCCTGTGGAAAGGAGCAGACCAGAAACCAACTGAAGTATAAATCAAGAGGCAGCGTCCAGTTATTCATTCATTCAGACTGTGAGCCGTGTGGAAGCACTGCCTGAGCGACTTGTGCAAGGAGGTCTGCGAGTGCCCCAGGAAGAAGTGGGTTGAAAGGGAGACGAAGTGGCCATAGCCGCTAGTTAGTGGTAGAGGTAGCGAGCAGCCATAGCTGCGCTAGGTTAGAGCTATGCTGTAGCATGTTTGTGTATGAGAGTGCAGTAAGTTGTGTGTGTGTGTGGGACATCCAGGGAGATCCAGAGAAGTGTGTGTGTGAACAGTTGCTGAGGATACAGCGTGGAAGGGTGTTGTGAGGGTGCACAGGCGCCATAGCCATTCCAATCGAGTTGAATCTGAACTGTGTTCTTGGCCACGATATCTCTGAGCTTTGTGTGGGCGCTCGTCGCCAGTGTGATTGCCATCTGTTTCCATGCATGCTGAGTAAGAAAGAAGACGAGTCTGATTCCAGGGGTGCTGGCACCAGCCTACCTTGAAACTCAAGTGCCGCACATCGTGCCAGCAGATGGCGCCGAAAAGGCAAGGAAAGAAAATAAAAAAAGCTAAATTCGTTCAATGATTAACAAAGGCCGTTGCCCTTTCATGAAGAAACAGAAAAGAGATATGGGGGAAGCCATCTGACCTAGGGCATACTCACGATGGTACTGTCCAGAATGTATCTGACCACTATCATGGCCAAATCGTTGTCTTTTTTTTTTCCCCTTCTTTCTTGTACTGCCCTCCAAGAGGCAGAGCGTTTTCCGGCCTCTCAGGAAAGGCCCTCACTGAGTGCATACTCACACTAGTACTGTTCAGACTGTATCTGACCGCTATCATGGCCATGTCTTTCATCCTTTTTTTATTTTTTATTTTTCCTATTTACATTCTTGGGAATGTCCTCACTCAGGGCATACTCACACTACTACTTTCCAGAATGGATCGGATGAATACGTCCAAATCTGTCTTTGTTTTCCCTTCTTTTTTTTGGTTTTGTTTTGTTTCTATGTTACGATCCTGGTCACTTCCCAAGTGCAATTTCACAATGAAAGACAATGCCACCCAATTGCGAAAGAAATGAAAGCACTTGCAAAGAGATAAAGACCAGAGGAGAGGTAAAGAAGAAGAAGAAGAAGAAGAAGAAGAAGAAGAAGAAGAAGTACACCAGCAAGACCCATGACAATTCCCCCTTCTCTCTCCACCTTCCTCCTTCCTCCTTCTCTTCACCAATCTTATTCTTCTCTCAATAATAATAATAGCAATGAATGGATGAACCAGAATCAATGTCCGAAGTTCCCCCTTACTGCTTTCTCAACTCACAACAACAACAACAACAACAACAAGTCCACCATGGCTATGTCTACCCTCATTCAACCTCCTCTCTCATGCATAGGCCACGGCGGACTACTGGGTGGCAGCTATGGTGCTGCCCAGTTGTCCAGAAGACAACCCAAAGCAGCTATGTTGCTGCTTGACTTGGTCTGCTATGCCTGACTCTGCCTCGAGCTGCCCTGGTGCAGCGCTACCCTAACTGGGGCCTTCCAGATGCAGCGCCCAACAAGGTGATGAAGACGGTCCCGGGTGTCAGACCAGGTGACCGTTCTGGGAACAGGTAGGAGAGGGGATTGCACATTGGCCATCCATACTGCAACTGGTTTGGTGTCACACCGGTGGCAGAATGGATGGAGTTGTTGTACAGTCCCTTTACTTTGTGCAAGTCCTTATCCCATGTGTTCTGATCTGGCACAATCAATGCGCGCAGCAGCTGGGTGACGGTCTGGTTGATTTCCTCAGCCAATCCATTGGCTTCGGGGTGTCAACCAGAAGTCATGTTCAATTTGATGTCATAGATCTAGGCAGTGAAGTCCTTCCAATCCTTGCTGATGAATCTGGCATCCCGATCACTAACAAGAGTTTTCGGGGGCCCATACTGCAGAATGTACTGCTGGTGAAACTCTTCGATGACCAGTTCAGTCGGTGCATGAGGAGGTAGAGGAATCAGATTCAGAAATTTAGAGAAGCGATCCACAATGACCATGACTTGTGAATTCCCTGCCGTACTCACCTTCCCCATGTCCGTGGAATCGATGGAGACCGATTCCCTGAGGCCATCAGGGATTGGGGGAGGTCTCAGCAGGCCATAAGGCTTATGCCTGTGGACCTTGGTTCTCTGACAAACTTGACACTCAGCAATAAATTTCTGAGTAGATCCCTTCATCCCCGGCCAATCAAACTGCTGGAGAAGACTCCCATAAGTCTTCTCAAAGCCGAAATGCCCACTCCAACCATGTGCCAAATCCAGGAAATGAGTCCGGAGAGGCGCATGGTTAGGAACACACAAGCGATCAAATTTCCCGTACCGGCGGAATACAAGACCATCGCATTCATGAAAATCAGGCTGGCTGTTGGGGTCAGCCTTGAGCTGCTCAAGGATGGGACTAAGGTCCGGATCCTTGGCGGTGTGTTCGATCAGATCCTCCTTCAGTTTCCTGCGGAGGTCGTACAATTCCACCAGGCAAGTCAAATACTCAGGATGGCGCGATAGAGCATCAGCAACACGATTATAACAGCCTTTCTTATGCTTCAACTCAAAACTGTAAACATCAATGTCATGCAGCCAGCGGGTCAACGTAGGAGAGCCACTGCAGGGTCTGATGATCAGAGTAGACCTTGAAGTGGCGACCCAAGAGGTAGTGCTTCCAATGTGCGAGGGCTTGCGCAGGGCATAAAGCTCGCGCATATATGTGGAAGTAGCTACCTTGTGGCTGGGCATGCGTTTGCTGTAATATTCGAGCGGACGCAGACCATCGCCATCATCTTGTTGCAGCACTGTACCAATCCCAAACTGACTCGCGTCCGTAGTGACTACGAACGTGAGGTTGGGATCCGCAATGCGGAGCACAGGATGACTCACCAAAGCCTCTTTCAAGGCTTGGAACGCAGTCTCACACTTTTCACACCACGCATAGGCAACATTCTTACTAGTCAGGCGTGAGAGTGAATGAGCAATGACAGAGAACTTGGGCACAAACTTCCGGTAGTAAGAAGCTAACCAAGAAAAGAACGCAGCTTGCGTACATTTGCCGGTTGATGTCAGTTGCGGATGACCTCAACCTTGGTYGCCTCCGGCTCAAGGCCGCTCGCAGACAACCGGTGTCCAAGATAGATGACGCTGTCTGTGCCAAACTCAGTTGAGCATCTTTGAGGACTTGATAGACCTCCTCAAGATGCTTGACGTGCTCCTCTATGGACTTGCTGAAAATCAGAATGTCATCAAGATACATAACCACAAACCTGTTAAGTTGGTGGCGGAGTACCTTGTCCATGAGGGACTGAAATGTGGCTGGCGCGTTCGTAAGGCCGAAGGGCATAACGATGAATTCGTACAGCCCATCGCGTGTCTTGAACGCGGTTTTGTGCTGGTTGCTCGGATCGACTTCAATTTGGTGGTAGCCAGACTTGAGGTCAATCTTGGAAAAGACCATGCAACCACCGGCCGCGTCCAACAGATCATCTATGCGAGGCAAAGGGTACGCATTCTTTCTAGTGATCCGGTTCAAGCCACGATAATCAATGCACATTCGGAGCTTGCCTCCTTTCTTCGGTACAAACAAGACAGGTGCGCCAAATTCAGACTCGCTCGGCCTAATCCATCCACGATCAATCATGTCATCAATCTGTCTCCGCAGCTCCTCCAACTCGCCTTGTCCCATGCGGTAAACGCAGCCCTTTGGAGGAACACTCCCTTCTATTATCTCGATTTTGTGCTTGACTGAACGCTCGGGGACTCCGCGCGGTTCAGCCAACACTTCAGGAAATCGATCTAATAGATGGCGAATGCTTGCTGGGATTTCCGGTGGAGGATCATCCTCATCAGGTGAGAGAAAATCAGATCGGGAATTTACAGCAATTACAACCGGTTTCGAGGTAGTTGGATCAGAAGTAGATTGATCATTTACAAGAGAAGTAGGTGGAACAGAAGTAGACGTAGTAGAGGTAGAATTACCTTCAGAGGTAGAAAATGCAGCAAAAGTAGAAGGCACATGGAGAGGCTTTACAAGAGATATATGTACAAACTCAGCTTCCTTGCGCCTGCGCACTGACCTGCAGAATTTGTTAGCACTGAGAAGAGTCACAGGGGTCTCGCGCGTCTCATCCAACAAGACGGTACGCTCGTTCCCCTAGGCGTCAAGTACCACAAACTGGTTGTCTGCCCACGTGGTCCTTGAGCAATGAGCTTGTCGAAAGGACACTTGTCCAGGACGTAAAAATTCAGCTCATATGTGACAGTGCGATCTTTGTCAAAGGTGATGCGCACACCTTTGACAACATGAGTAGAAGTGACAACCTCTTGGTTGCCCACCTGAGTCCGGCAAGGGTTCTGCAGTTCCACTTGCTTCATACCCAGTCCCGCCTTACGAATCCCGTTCGGAGAGAAGAAATTAGTGGTGGAACCACTGTCAATCAGCACGCGGATGTATCGGCGGTTAATGAGCAGTTTAAAGAAGGTCAGCTTCCCGCCCCCCTGGACACGGCGTTGCTGCTTGAGCTGCAGCCAGTGCTCCATGTGGGCGTGGAAGTCAACTTCATTAGACTCCTCCCAAGGCTCAGTGTATAATACACGGACTGCACCAGCCTTGGATTCAGCATTGCTGCGGGCTTCAAGAGCAAGCTGCTGATCAGATCCAGGCTCGTCAGAGGGGCTTGCAGCCGACTGCTTAGCTTCTCTTGTTGTAGAGAGTGCAAATGTCTCCTCTACGCCCCTTGCCTGTTTCCCTAAAGACGATAGCAATCCTGCACAGCATGCCCAGGCTTTGAACAATACAAACATGCGCGCAGTTTGGACCTTCTTTCCCATTCTTTTTGGCTGATGCGAAGGGCTTCCCAAGGCTTGGTRGAAGCGTCCTCCGGTTTCTCAGGGATCTTAGCATTTTTGGGAAGGTGTAAGACAGTTCCCTTACCCAAACCACGGTTAGGCCCCTTATTTGAAGCAGTCTTTCTAAGTGCATTAAGTTTTTCATCATCATTTCGGTCACACTCAATGGCTGATGTGGAACAGCCCATATCGGAGTCCGGCTCTAGATCGTCATCTAGAGACAGATCATCTGCATAGGACTGATCTTCAGCCTCCCGATGATCATGTAGTGCAAGCTGGTTGCTGCTTCCCAACTGCTTGCGTTGTGGTTTCCCACCTGCAGCGGGCGCCTTCTTGCGCCTGGCGAGGTCATTCATGAGCTCTCGCCAGGTGGCATGGTCCTTGAGTGCTAGTAGGGAGAGGTATTCTTTAGGGGCCACTCCCATGACTACATCCATACAAGATACGTCAGTCATTCCTAGATCCGGAGTGGTGAACAGACCAGTCAAGTGCTGTTCCAAAGCCTGCATGGATGACTTCCATGTTTGGCCCTTAAGGGCCTCAAGCTTCAGCCTAGCCTTGAGCGCAGCATGTTTATCTCGGTACCGGTCAAGGAGAAGATCCTCAAGGGCGCGGACAGGGGTGACCTTCAGCCAATCAGTCAGGTCTATACGTTCATAGCCTGCTGCGACAGCTTGGAGCTTAATGTGGTTTCGTACGGTGGCTCAGTATTAGTCCCCATGATCATACTTCGGTCCTCTTGCGGTGTCCGCATGACCTCGAAGTACGACCGCATGGAACTAATCCAAGAGGTGATGTCTGCCTTCCCGTCATACTTGGACGGCAGCGTGGCCGCCCGCTTATCCACCATGGGACCGTTGTACTGAACGCCAGTAAGGGCTGTGGCGTTTTGGGCTGAAGTCCCTGCATTCGGGACCATGACCAGCGCAAAACTGCCGGTGCTGCCGCTCGAGGAGCTGGCGCCGGTTCCTGCGCTCGCCACGGTTCCACTTGATCTTACTATAAGGGYTGTGTTTGATTGAGAGACCGGGACTACAGCAGACCGAGGGTTAGGAGGGCGGGGGGCAGACAATTGGGACTGTTTTAGGCTGGTTATCTCAGCCTGCAGCTCTTGGTTCCGCTGCTCCAACGCTGTTACGCGGGCCTCGAGATCTTCCAAACTCCGCAGTCGAACCAAGGCTGCGACAGCAGCAGCTAGTTCCTCCTGGAACCGGTCAGCATCGGCTTCCGGGATCCGAAGGAGAGCCACCTGATCAGCAATGTCGGCAGCTCTAGCTGCTGCCGCTGCCTCCCTTTCCCTCTGCACGGCATCATCGTACAATTTTTGAAAGAATGGTTTCTGGCTCTCGTCTGCTGCGTCCAGCATGGCCTGCCATTGGTCAGATGTGATGACCGCCATGCTGGAGGAAGGGGTGTCAGTAGAACTCTCAAGAGGGGTCCGCTCTC